GCTGTGCCTGCCACGAGATCTGCGCCGGTGCCCAGCCGACGCCAGGGCGTACATCCGACCCCTGCGGAAGGAGGAAGGCGGAGGAGGAGCGAGGAGGTGCAGCAAAAAAAACAAGAACCCCACACAACAATGTGGGGAAGAAAAAACAACTCCATCGGGGTCAGGGGGCCTCGGCATGCGTGAAAAACAAAGATCCCAAGAGGGTGGACCATCAGAAACTCGAACAGAGAAACATGTCGCATGACGCAAATCCAAAATCCCAATCAACTTGCACAGACATGTAGCAAAACTGGTGTGGAAATGATGCAGGCGCTGCCCATGGACGTCGAACCTCTTTTGGGTTCTTTTTCTGGCTATACGAGGTGGTATGTGGTGATGAGTGAAACGCTAGGGAAGTGGTCCTCAGAATGGATGTGGATGTATTAGAAACTCATGTGTCTGGTGGAGTGGAATTAATTGATGGACCAGGCCAAGCCCTTGATGATTGCGTTGTCAGTGTGGATCACCCAGGATCTGGCTTTGGCGTGGCAAACGGCACCATGGCTCTGGAGAAGCAAATTCATTGCTTGTTCTTCACCTCCGCTGGTGAACTTGGTGCCTTGGCCCCAGGCAAGGATGTTGACAATGATTGAGTGTGTGTTTTTTGCGAGGTTCCATGTGTTGTGAAGAATGCGGGCGTGTTCTGCGTTGTCATGTTGTGGTTGTTGGGTAATGCGTACGGCTTGGGCAAAGAAGCCCGGGTTGTTGGCAAAGTGGAGTGTGCTAGATAGGAGACGGCCCTGTTGTAGGATGTTGCTGATGTTGCCAAGAGGGCCGGTGTGGCCCGCGTTGATGTGGACCATCTCTGGTGTGGGGGAGGTGGCGCGTGTAGCGGGTGGTGGGAAGCTGCGGGTTGCTTTTTGAACGAGACTGGGAATGGTGACGCAGTGGTATTGGTAAATGTCATGAGTGTTGGTAGTGTCGTTCCATTTGATATGTGTAAATTGGCGGAAATCTGAAAGGTCTTTGTAAGTAAAGCCGCTGTCGAGTAGCAGTTTGGCGATGTATGTGTGTTGTGGTTTGTTGGGTGCTTCAGCTGGTCTGCGTGCCAATCAAGCCAGAGTTCCAGCTGTTCTTGTGGGGTGCGTTGTTGAAATTGTGAAAAAGGTCGCCATGGCTTGGCAGGTCTGCGCAACGCAGGGATGTTGGGATAGCTGGTCTGTGAGAGGTTTGCGACGGCATCTTGTTGTATTGAGTCGTTGTTGGGTAGAAGAGAGATGGGTGGCCTGGAGCGACTGCGTGAGCGACTGTAGGAGTAGGTGGAGTAGGAGGAACAGGAAGGTGAGCGCTGGCGGTGGTGTCGTGTGGAATGGTGTCCACGAGAGGCATCCTGCTGGGTGGTTGAGTGCCTGGTGTGGTGGCGATGGGTGCGCCTGCCGCGAGTGCGGTGGGGCGGTCTGCTTGTGTTGAGGGTGCCATGGAGGTTGGCGATTGGTGGCCAGGAGTGGTCGCGGCTGGAAGTGATGCTGGCGCTGCAGTAGGCAAAGGATCAGGAGGAGATGAAGTGGTCTGGTGCTGTTGGGTTGGGCTTGGTGGAATAGGAGCTGGTTGAGTGACTGGTGGGAAAACTGAAAATGGTTGCCAAACGCCTTGACTGTAATCCCATTGGATTGGTGCCGGCTGGCAGGCTTGTGATGGAGCTGGTTGTACATGAGGTACTGGCTGTTGGTGTGGTTGTGGTTGTGAGGAAATCATAGCCGGAGGTTGTGATGGTATAGGTTCTTGCGGAGGCAGTGAAAAAGAGAAAGGAAAAGTGTGGGGATGTGGTATCGGAGGTGTGAGCTGTGTTGGTGGTTGAAAGTGTGGTTGCGGTGGATGTTGCCATGTTGGCTGCGGCATGTGAGGCAAAGTCTGTGGCATGTGTGGAATCATGTGGGGCATGTGAGGTTGTGTCGGCTGAATGGGAAATGTGTGGGCCGTTGTAGGTGGTGGTTGTTGAGGCCAATATGGGTATGGCCATGGATACTGCATTGGCTCGATGTTTGTGATGGTCGAGGTTCCACTCAAAAGATGTAGATTGAAATGTAGTAGCTGCTCGATGGCACCAGCGCGGGGCGGCAGCTGTTGGAAGGTCTCTGCTACTTGTACCCGTGAAATGAAGTCGTGAAATGGTGGTGACGCATGAAAGTCTGAAAAGTATGAGAATGACATGCCATGAGAGGGTAGTGATGTATGAAAGTCTGAAACTCGAAAGTGAAGTGGCATGAGATGAGAAACTGTAGGTGGTGAGTCGAATGTGTGGAACATCTGTGGTGAGAGATTGAACGTGAGTCGACTGTACACACTTGAAACTCCAAAGTCAGCTGCGTATCAAAACATTGAACATGAAGTGAAAAGACATGCCGAAAGTGCAAGAATCTGAAAGAGTTCCGTCGTATTAGCCCGGCGGCTCAAAAGGCAGCGAATTCAGGGTGGGTGAAAACAGTTAGGGAAATTTCAGTTGCTGAAACCGATCAAAGCAGTTAGACGATTTCCGGAATGATGACAGCGCGTCCTTGCGGAGGATCACACCCAGCACCCAAGTGGGACGGCTGAGCGGTTCACACTCTGACATTGGTTTGCTGTTAACTCAATTCCCACGATGAGAAGGAAGGTGATGGAACGGCAAGGTGAACAGGTCCGCTGACTTGAATTGTTGAAAATTGTTTCACTCGCTCTGCTGGCTACAATGCACAAGCGGCTGAAAACTGCGGTGGGAAACCTGTTTGTGGGGAAGGTATCGTGAAAGAACCATGAATCAATCAAACCGTGGAAAAGTAGGGTGACAGCTTGTGGAAAACTCCGCAGGTACATGAGAGTGATCAGCTCTCACTTCCCTCGACACATCATAGCTTCGTTGCGTCAGGTAGATGTGTCGAGCCTGACGCCCCTGCTTGCATGTCCGAAAGAAAAGTAGCACCCTTTGGAACAGGGGTTGACACACACACATACATATATATAACAAAATGTAAACATAATTATCAGTTTGGGCAGCTGAGGACCGGCGACACAGAGATGAAGCTGGAGGAGTGCAAAGAAGCTGAGCCCGAGAAGGCAGTGCCAGAAGTTGCTGAGGGCGAAAAGGATGGAAAAGAGGGAAATAAGAAGAACCAAGAGGAACCTGAGGAGGCGCGCTCTCAGAGACGGCTCTTGTGACTTCTAGTGAGTGACAGCGATGGTCACTACTGATGACTAGTGTTTTTTGCTTTGTGAATGCGTTGTGACGTATTGTGTCAGGGTTGTTGGTCGTGAGGAGGAAAACATCGATTATTTGAAGGAACTGGAGGAAGAACTTGAGCAGGCAGAGTATGATGTCTTCGAGGTTGAGGATGTCACTGAACCTCAGCGAGCGTTTCGCTGTTGATCTGCGATTTCTGTCCAGCGTGAAAGGATTTCTGTGAAAGCACTAGCGGGCATTCTTATCCATACTAGTCGTATAAAGGACATATTATACTGTACTGTATATTGTGAGATCTATATATATATATATGTATATCCTTTTTGATACTACCAATTAGCCGCCCACCAGCGGACATTCCAAGCTTTTCTTGCTGCAAATTGCTCAGCACATTCGTTTGCAGTTCTGAGACAAGGAACCTCGGTTCGCAATCATCCAAGGACATTGGAACTGGCGAACCCCTCTTCTGCAATTTTGGCTTTGAGGCACCTGGTCCATTCTGTTCCACTTTGTGCCATTTGGCTGTGAAACGATTCCCTACATGGACCATGCAGAGATAGCACCAGGGATAAATCCACAAGTCGCACTCCTCAGAGCCACCCATCAATACTCTGGGATCGTTCATTGGCTAGGACTGGGCTTTGCTGAGTTTGCGCTTTGAGCTGCACTTGCTGGCACACGCTTTCCTTCACGACTGTGGGGATCCGGAGAGGCACTGGAATTTTGTGGAGCCTAGACCGTTCACATCACCGCAGTCCAGGTCTGGCATTTATCCAGACCATTTGCTTTTCTACTACAGCAGGCCCCGCTAAAATGCTGCCTGACTTGAGCTGCAGTCTACCTTTAAAACCAAAGGCATTCCTACATACACAAAATGCGCAGGTACTTCAAGAAGGGTTTGAATCCCAAGAACTATGGCGTGGACAATGTGGAGGAGCTCGTTGGCCTCGTCCGGGACGCTGTGGTCTTAATGTGCCCACCAAAGGCAGGGGAGGGAACGGCGGGGAGTATTCCAAGACATGTTACTGAGCTTGGTTTTGCTGCGGGGATCTTACACACCCAAGTTCATACCAGATTGATGAACATCGAATAATGTCACTTCACGTCCCGATTTACAATAACTTTACACTTCGAGGTGAGCTGAGCCGCTACTCCACAGGTCCTGGAGTCAACTTTGGCTGCTGAGCTGGAGGGCAATGTGGAGGGCTGAGCACATGTACTACCCGCCACAAGGAGTAGTGAGTAGTGAATCAATAATTGGATGATCAGAGCTGTTGGTTGTTTTTAGTCCAGATGGGCTTTGGTTGCTACTTGCTCTGACGGGCTCACAAAGGATTTGATGACGTTACCAGACCTTTTTCTCCCTTCTTTCAAACGAACACGACACTTGTACCGGAGCATGCGTACTTTTCTTTGTGACAGCTCTTGCCATACCTCGATGCCACAATTTTAGAAAAACGGAAGCACCAGCACATAAAGATGATGAATCTCCCATTTGTTGTGGAGGAAGGCCACTGTTCTTGATTCAAGACTATTCCGCAGTAATGACTCAACGACTCATGACTCATGGCTTTTTGAGGACATTTTTGTCAAGCTCACGGAGGAAGCACGACGTGACCGCCTGCGGAGACTAGATGGAGGTGATGAGAGTGTTCGGGTGCCGAGATTGGAACGTGGAGAGGCAGTTGATGAACAAGATGAGTCATGTCAGAAGGCAGACATGGAACTCCTTTAGCGTGAGGCCCGGCTGAAGTTTGCAACCGGGGCGAACGCCGTCAAGGCAAGGTGTTGGCTAAGATGGCTTGCCAATTTTGTGGGGTTGTGTATCGCTGCTGATCCTACTGCGCCCAGCCCAACAGGCAGCCACTGCCAAAGCTCCAGTGGTTGTCCCCAGCAAGACTGGGGTACAAGTGTCAGCACCGCCTTGGCCTTAGCTGCAGCTTCAGACCTGGAAACCAAGGTAGTGAAGTGTCGGGAGCTGTTCCAAATTTCCTCCACGATTGAATACAGAGATTCCACATTACCTGGGTAGATAAGCCAAGAAAAGCCACAAGAGAGGCCCAACCTGACCGAGGAAGTCTCAGCCCATGATGGATCAGAGCATGATGCAGCAAAGGTGCTTCTGCCGCGCAATTTGTGGTTTGGCTGTTGGTGGCAGTGGGTGGCTGTTGGCCACCCAGCTGTGCAATACATGCTATATCCATTTGCTGTTTGGGCGTCAGGCAGGTCCTTCGGCCACAGATGCAGGCGCCCATGGGGCCCATGGGTTCCATGGGGCCCATGGGACCGATGGGGCCCATGCCTGGCATGCAACGACCCTGGGCACCACCGGGGTGCGCAAGTGGAGAGGTGTTGAGAGTCTAGAGGAGTTCATATGTCCGCTTTTTGGCTGTTTACTTTGGGAGGTATGGGCCTGGTGCCATGTTCGCACAGAGGGCCATGATGGTGGAGCACCTAAAGTTAAAAAGGCATCTCCTTGCCTCCTTGCTGTGCACCAAGAAAGTCGAACCACCAAGGCTAGAGGCTTCAACCAGAGCTGGTGAACCCACGCTTCAGCTGTGGCCACTTGAGGAAAACCATAAGTAACATTAAGTAACTCAGTCAGTCGATGAGGCTAAGCTGCCAATGCTTACTCACTCACTAAGTGATTGGGAAAAGAAACCGTTCGTGCCTTTCTGCTTTGACTGGTGACGATTCCTCCCTGACGTTTGACTTTGGGGTCATGATCCGTGATGATCCTGTGGCAGTTGTTCGCTTTTCCATGCTTTTTCCTCGAAGTGAGTCTCACCGGTGCCTTGTGGGCGGTGCACCTCCGACAAATGCCGTCGTTGCACGGCGTCGTGCGTCGCAGTAGCCGAAGGGCTTCGATTGGGATTTGGTGTTGGCCGTAAAGCGGTCCCAATGCCTTCCGTCACCCCTGAGAAAGTTGGACTTTCCAGGGAGGCCCTTTTGTTTGGATTGGAGCGGGGGTGATGTGCCCAACGGAACACGAATAGCAGAGACGTTGATGGTCTTGAGCCAGCTTTATGTGTGGAGTAAAGCCATGAATCATGAATAGCCTGAATTCTGAACAGCTACACAGCATTGCAAGCATGGATTCTTGACGTGAAATGGTCCAGCACAGACTGACCGTGATATCGGCTCATCAACGCAGCCATCAGAACTCAAGCGAGAAAGTCTCAAATGAAGCCCAATGAGCGCGCATTCAGCACAAAGCGCGATTGAAAGCACGAGAGAGCAACGAAGAGCGTACCCAACCATCCAGAAATATCCAGAACCGTTTCAAGAAAGTTCCTCCGTTGCTGGCTTACTTTTGGAACGTATTGCCACACTCTTTGAGGGCCCAAGAGTTGCCCAGAACTGGACTAACAGATTTCAGGAGACAAGACTCATTGCTTCACCTTAAGACTGGTCTAGTCAAGTCAGTCTAGATGTCTGATGAGGCATGGGTCGAAGTCTCAGCAAGAATGAATCAGAGACCAACCGCGCTGAGCACAGTTGCCAAGGTCAGAGATTTCATAGCAGCAGCAGAGAGTGGTCATGCTCGGAGCCCTGATGCCTGGCAGGTTGTCCAGAAAGGACCTCCACCAAGTTTTTGATGTGTCATTGGTGAGGCCGGCAAGACGCTGGAGTTGGTGGAAGCCGCCGGGCCTCCGGATTTAAGCACCCCGGAGTCGGAACACCTGGTTTGGTTCTTTCTGGAACCGGAGGTTCGGAAGGAGCGCTGGGCTGTCAAAGAAGCGGCTGGCCTCCTCAGATTGGCTCTTCTTGGTGTCATTCGGTGTCGCGAGTAGACCACATGGAGAAGCTGGGTCAGTAAACTAGGCCACCCTGGGCATGGCAAGCCTCAAGGCGGGATATTTTCATGATTTTTCCATGACCAGAGATGGTTGACTTGGCCGGCAAATCTTGGCAATATTGTTGCTATTTGATGCTATTTGGAGTGTCAGTATGAGCTAAGGTTAACCAGCACACTAGGTGAAACAATGGTGAACAGATTCCTGTGGGCTATTCTGCTCATTTTGAGTCAATTCACCCAAGCAGCCCGCGACCAGTCAGGCTGGCCTGGACCGGGAGAGCTGCGCTGCAGGCGGCATGGATTGGCAATTTTGCGTAGCCGTTCAGATTTCATATTGGGTTCACAGGTTTCTTTGACAGTCTTGCTTCACTTCGCGTGATTCAACTATTATGACTTCACTCACAGCTTATGTGACATCAGATTCCGTGGTTTTAAAGGCCGCAACCGCGTGCTGCGGCAATGGCTGGCTGAATGCAAAAACCAGGCGGCCTGGATTTGATCCGCGAGATGCATTCAGGATATATATATATATATTTAAAGGCTTACGCCTAACAGCCGGGCGCCGGCCCACTTGGGTCTGTGGGGCGTATGTCACGCCTATGTTGGCCTTGGTGGGGCCTATATTGAGCAAAGTGAAGCTATCTGGTGCGCATCTTGGCCCTAGGTTGGGCCAAGTTGGGCCCATGTGGTCTATGTTGGGCACATCTTGGGCCCATGTTGAGCCCATGTTGGGCCTATGTTGGCCTATGTTAGGCCTATGTTGGCCTAGGTTGGGCCTATGTTGGGCCTATGTTGGCGTATGTTGGCCCCAAGTTGGCCTATGTTGGCCCTATGTTGAGCCATCTTGGAGGCTATGTTGGGCATATGTTGGGGATATGTTGGCTATCTTGGGCCTATTTTGGGGATATGTGAGGCAATTTTTGTGGAAAAAATCTTCCGATACAAGCAGTTCCCGGGCAAGCCGGCGGCGGAAGTTTCCAAAAAGAACACATTGACCTATAGGAGTGTCCACGTTTTCTCCACCATGCGTGTCCCTCGTGTCATTCACTGAGCCAAACGCATGCGCTCCGGACTGTTGACACACACACACACACAGCGCCACCTGTGCAAGGTCTGTGCTCCCTGCAGGATCAGCGCACTGGGTTATGTCTATACCAAAGCAAGATCACCAGCCCACAGCGGCGTGCTGAAGCAACTGGGCATCTGCAAGCGAAAGTTAAGTGCAGCTGGTGCGGGCACGCGAAGTGGGTGGTGTTTTCAAAGTCAAAATCATGTCTTCATTGTCCAGCTTGCCAAATACTCCGCGTACTTTACAGTTGAACAACAAAGTCGCCAGTTCTCATTTTCCAGCTCCCCAGATACTCAGCAGCGAGAGATGACTCATCCGCGCACGAAAGTTGTACTACAAAGTCGCCAGTTCTCAGCTTCTAGCTGCACAGATTGCTCCGCGTGCTGAAGTTGTACTACAAAGTCGCCAGTTCTCATCGTCCAGCTTGCCAGATACTCCGCGTGCTAAAGTTGTACTACAAAGTCGCCAGTTCTCAGCTTCCAGCTCTACAGATTGCTCCGCGTACTAAAGTTGTACTAGAAAGTCGCCAGTTCTCACCATCCAGCTCCACAGATACTCCGCGTACTAAAGTTGTACTACAAAGTCGCCAGTTCTCAGCTTCCAGCTCTACAGATTGCTCCGCGTACTAAAGTGCACTAGAAAGTCGCCAGTTCTCACCATCCAGCTCCACAGATACTCCGCGTAGCCAGTTCTCCTCGTCCAGCTCGCCAGATACTCCGTGTACTAAAGTTGTACTACGAAGTCGCCAGTTCTCAGCTTCTAGCTGCACAGATTGCTCCGCGTACTACTGCAAAGTCACCAGTTCTCAGCTTCTAGCTGCGCAGATTGCTCCGCGTACTAAAGTTGCACTACAAAGTCGCCAGTTCTCATCGTCCAGCTTGCCAGATACTCCGCGTACTAAAGTTGTACTACAA